AGAGGGCACGGTAACGGATCCTGGAATCTTATTGGTAATTCGGTGCGGGTTTTCCTATCTCTGCCCACGGGCACGGTATCGCTTGAGCGAGCCGCCGATTACATCTCAAGCTTTGTTGCCATTTTTCATAAATTTATTTCGTTTTGCCGGCTGGACAGTATATTTAAGCAAATCGTTGTGGAGCAAATCAAGCCGATTGATAACATTAATTCTTTGTTTCTATCTCTTAGATCACTTTGTTTGCCTGTAAAAAGAATTGGCTTTGAGATGAATATTGGTAGCAAATATGTCATTAGATGAGTTAACGCGCGGCCTTAAAGTCGCTTGTAATTAACCTAAACCTTACTAGAAGTAACCCAGAAAGCTAAAACTTGAGGTATTTCTTTGCAATTGAATTCATTAATGGTAATTTTATTCATTATGTATCTGAATTCTCTCAAATAATTTGTTCCTCGGAGAACAGTGAGCGAGGTCTTCTATACTTCAAATACGCTTTCGGTAAGTCTTTGCAAGTCCGTTCAAACTGGACATTGGTACCGGAAATTTTGCAACAGTAAACAAAAGAATTCAACGAGAAAAAGCTACTTTAAAATTCCCCTTTTCATGAAAGACCAGTTCCACAAGAAAACTCCAACAAATTCAAAACATAGATTTAAATTTACTTAAAATTATTATCCAGTTCAGTTTATTTGCCAAACCAGCACCGTTGTGGTTGTTGATTCGTTTTAAAGGGTGCATGCGCTTTTTTCTTCCGCGCTCTCTAATTGATAGGTGTCAAATTGTGACAGATACTTGTTAAAAAATGTTTCAAAGTTTGTTTGGAGGCCTCTTAAATTACCTTTTTCGTTACCCAAATAAAAATATTTCGGTGAGGCCTCTTTTTAATTTACATTACCTCAATCTGTTTCAACCACCATTTATACTCGCTCAAAATTTGTTCAGATCAAGGAAGGTCTTGCCGCACTTACAGCCCTAACTCATTAGGGCTCTTAAGGAAAACATTTCGTTAATTTCAAGGGAAAAAAACTGTTATTCACCAGCCTAGGTCGGTCCGTATTGGGAAAAACTGTGCCATTTATCTGAACTACCGGTGCTCAAGACCTTGGGCACAGTGTTACCCAATACAGACCTTCCAGCCGGTGAATAGCATATTGATCACTGACTTGTACAAGAAATACACACCCGGACACACAAGAATAAAAGTACTTCGATGTGTTATGTTCAAAACAACAAGCATACACCGAAAATTTCACGGGCAGCGTGTTCAACTACTTATGCGCGCCTAAAAGTTCATTCATCGCTCACACGTACAAGTTAGGTGGGCTGAGTATATTCTGTGAACAATGTTTTTTTTTACTTTTAAGAAGCAAGAGCAATTTTCATGGCATACGTGCAAGACTGCTAATGTTTCAGCACATTATATGCTTTATGGTTGAAATGTGATCTTACCTCCGGGCATCTCGCAAATGTAGGAATCTCCTTTATCATTCCGAGAGATACCATTAAAGAGGCTTCCATTCGTGGATATTTCCGCCCTTTCGTCGTTCACACTTGGCTCAGAATCTCGCCATTTCGAAATATTCAGCTGTTCTCCACTCTTCCATATCCAAACCCCATCTTTCTTCTCCAAACCAATGAGCCACGCATTAGTAGTCGAAGTATTCCAAGTACCACGCTTTTGAATCTCATGATTGATAAACTGCCATTCTTCCTCAGTCTCGATGGAGACTAAATAACCTCCCAAGATTGAGCAGACTTCATTGTTATGAAACCTGTAAATTTTGCCTTTCGAAAATATGTAAGAGGAGTTTTTGAAACAGGTTGGTTGGCACTCTATAAGAAGAAAATAAATGAATAAATAAATAAACGTAAAAATGTATACTGAAGATAACAACAGTGAAAGCGATAATGATAAAGACGAGAAGGTATTTTTTATATTATTAATTTTAATAACAAACGATGGGCATCAAAACCCTCTACATCAATGAAGCAAATATTAGAATTAGGCTAAAGTGGATCTTGGAGAGATCAGGGTAATAGCACCGTTATTCTTTGACTTTTTGTTTTGCTTTCCAACGTTTTGAATCGCAATCCAATGTAATTTTAACAGGAAGTTCATAACTAATTAATATGATAATTAGTCAGGTATTATCTTTTGTTCCCATCCATTTTAAGGAACATAAATATTACATCGGAATGAAGCTGCCTCACCTGTCCCTGGCAATTTCATCAACAAACGAAGGATGTCTGCAGAAGAGAAAATGGACAAATAAATTGATTGTTATCTCAAGATTAACATTTGAAACAATGAAAAAGTTTATTAGATTTCGAGTAAGACGAGTACTAATGCATCTATTCATGAATTTTATTACCTTCCAAGGGAGCTGACGGAGAAATTATAAAAAAAATGCAGCATCTCCGCAATTCACCAATTAGCTGAACAAAACTTATCACATGTGGAAACATTTTTAAGGATACGATAGACCCTTAGAAATGTCCTTCAGAAAATTTTTTTAAACGGGTTATTCGGAGCGCAACCGAGCTATAAATGAATGAAAAGAATGTAAAATGTGCTATCCAGAGGAAAAAATGTTTCGTTTGAGCTCGCATTTTAAGCGAATGAATCGAGTATCAAATCTGACCGCTCAAATAAAACTTCTACACAATTTGAATCTTGAGGGGTTGGTCTCCAAAATTTTGTGAGGATTTTTCCATATTCTTGGGAGTTACAAAACTATGGATCAGCAGGCCGCGGAACCTGCGGAACCTCCAAAGCCCATATATTTTTTTTTTAAAGAAGAGCAATGGGTTGAGTATAAAGTTTGCTTTCGGGCTTAAAAGAAGAATGATTTAGAAGAGAAATATATGTTTTAATTAACCATGACATCCAACTTGGCGAGTCGTCAGCAGTCATCTACTCTGAGTGTTACTAACAGAACAACAATTTGAAAGCTCTAAAAATTTGGGTACCGCGATATCTGATTAACGCCTCATCCGAGCGCTCTAAGGAAACCTACTTTGTACTATATGGAATCTAAAAGGCTTCAGGAATCCAATTTATAAGAGATCCATTTCTGATTAAGAAGTGAAAGTTTAATGCGGAAATCTTTAAAGTCTGTTTTGTTATGTTTTAATTAACATTGCCAAATATCCGCCACCTGACAATTTTTCTCTGTTTGGTTTGGCCGAATTTCACAGAACGTTCCAAAATGGATATAAATGTGTCACAAATGGAAAGTCAAGATATAATTAAGGTGGTACTAACCTAGCGTACAACTTATACGAATGTGTCATTACGGGTGATTATTATTCAATTATTTTTCATTGTAAGGAAAGAGAAAAATATCGAGAAACTAATAATAACGATAATGATGATAATTAGCTTTAATAATTAGACAACAACTAGAAAGGACATGTTAAGAGTTTGGTTTGTTTAGTTATTAGAGTTCCGTAAGGCAAATATCGAAATAAATATTTTACGAATAAAAGTCAATTTTGACGGTTTCATAGCTACCGCAGAACAAACAGGAATAACTAGGGTCGTACTCACCCAGCATACAACATATCACCGATGTTTTGAACATTTTGCAGGATTCACTTATATTTGATTCACACCGCGTGAGAGTTGCGGATTTGCGGCATCCTCACAAAAAGTCTTTCGTACGAGTTAGACTTTAATGCAAATCATGATCTCTGAACACATGTTCATGGCATTTTTTTTCTGTCATAGACGGACCAATGGACAAAAAGCCACTTGCACCTGGTGTGGAGCATTGTTTTTCTAATAGAATCGGAAAACTTCACGGCATTAAAGTACTTTTTGTAGTTGAAGTGTTGTGGAAGAAACAGCTAAAAAATATTTGATGGTGAGAACAGTAATTGTTTTATGAGCTCTGTTATATGAAAGTTGTCTTAACAAAATTCTGTTTTATCAACGGGCAGCTTAAGCTAGTATGCCATCTGTTCGTTTTGCATAAATGAGAATTATTGTTATTTATTCATATCGCCTGTGACATGCTAATTACTTCGTGGGCCTTTAAAACAACTGTGGCTAACGGCCAAAGTTTAGTGTTCAGCCTACAAAATAACTCTCCTCTTCAAAAGCGTCATGCAGACCATCACTTTTGTGTCCAAATGTTTGAATTCCAACAATTTAGAACGAGCGGTGAGTCAAAAGCTCTTAGTGCGAGACGTTCTTGGGTCATAGTGATGTGCTCTGTGGGCGAGACATTCTACTTTCCCAGTATCTCTCCACGCTCATAGAATAATCGATTATTTATTCTGGAATATTCGCTCGTCTTAGCTGCGATATATTAGGTCAATCGAAGCTTGAAGCGTTTTGACCTATCGCATTTGAGCAGTGTAGAGAGGAAAGTGCTTGTTTACTTCAGAATAATTCTTATTTTAACTTCTTCCGTCTTAATCGCACGCTTCGTCATCCATGTTTATTTATAAATGGGTATGACGTAAATTAGATTATTATAAACTGTTAAGTACATCTACATAACGGACTCCTTCTCTCCCTCATTGAAATTCCTCTACAATGCTAAGTTTCACTGTAATGATATTTGAAAACCAGGCCCATCGAAATATTCTGCATTTCTATCGCTAAGCTTTTTTCTTTAAATTGTATACCCTGTGTAAAAGTTCTTTAATCGTTGTTTAATGATGTGTGCCGAATAGTTTATAATCTCTTGGTTTATGCCATTTCCGGCTCACATTGCCCCAATTTAATTCCAAATTAATCGATGTATTTTCGATTTAAAACGATACTCCTTATTTTAGGAACGCCAAAACAAAAATGGGTAAATGTAACTGATCCAAAAAAAGATCCAGTCGCAAGGGGTTTTTTTTTTCTGTTCTTTCTAAATAAATTGTTTACTTATTCAAACAGCTAGGTATTGATCTATTTATTCATTAAGCAACAACTTTGAATGTCAGCGTTAGCTGCTAAGACTATTACCATTATTTGTTACCGTACAATTTAACAGACAAAAAGAGCATCATTTATCAACAGACCCAATTAATTTATTAAACAACTTGTAATATTCTTGCCAAGGAATGACTCTTGAAGAAGTAGAATAATTATCCTTAAATCACCTGATTGAAGCCCACCACAAACTATTTCTTTGCTCACCACTGACACAATCTCGAAGTTGTCTCCAAAGTAACTCGAGATTAACAATCTTCTACGGTAGCTCTCTTTCGGTCTCTCTCGATGTTACTGTTACATCATAACTAAGTAACCTAGTAAAATACTCCAGAAAGTCCCTTGGTATGCATTTTCGTATGACTAGGCATTCTCGAAATTTCTAGAAACCTATAGTTTCAGTTATTATCCATAGCTTATTATTTAAAGTAATAACAGTGTTTGGTGAGAAGTTTGTAAACTCAATAAGTGAAACGTCGAATATGAAATAATCATGCAGTGAGCGCAGAAATTTAGCGAGCAAGAATCGAAAGATAAATACATTCAATTAAAGCTGCGGCTAGAGTGCTTCTTCAAGAAAGACAATTCGTGATATCTTGGCTTAAAATTCCCGCCTTGTCTGTAGCGGACTGTGGTCTTACTCGAAGGAAAGTCATCAAGATACTAAGCTACTAGAAATTTGAATTTATAGATTTGTTTATTTCGATGAATCTTGCCTACAAGTATACTATCGCCTAGAAAATAAACTTGTTATCGTAACGAAGATAGATTACAATTACAGTTAGTTGAGTGCTTAAACAATTATGAAAAGAAAAACCTCTTTTTACCTGCAGATCGCAAGTCAGATCGATCGTAACCGACTTATTGCTGTTAACTAAGTGATTGCACTTAGTAATTCATTGTCATTTCCGGCTGGCTGGATCCAGTTATTTAAGCTAGGTGCGATTTCGATTAACACTGAGCACAAGACTGCATTTCAACTGCCCATACATCCCCAACCTCACTGGGCCTGTGAGCTCTTCCTTGTATAGTTGTTCTTTATAGAAGATCGAAAAACGATGTTCATCTTTCTTGTGAAACGCTCTCTGATCTGCAGATAGACGAACGACGCGAAACACGGTTCTTAGCACTAGTACTCGGATATCTATCGAAACACTAAAACTTGATGATATGGAGTTAACAATTAGTTTGTTTATTTTTCTTACCTGAGTGTTTTGCATGCAGTGTAGAGTGAAAATCAGGAAACCCTGCAGCATAAACATGATTTCAAGATCATTAATTTTTACAATATGCGAACAAATTAGACAAAGTACCTATTAAGATTTCCAAGAGGGAAGGAAAATTGCATATTATATAATTGAAAAAGAAGTCTGTCTTCTCTTGCATAGTTAACAGCATTTTTGTTTTAAATTTCAAAAAAAAATCATGTGACCATCGTAATGGTGTTTTACTTGGTTAGAAAGTAAAATAATGATAGAGATTGAATAATTTTGAGAGTTACCATCGAACACTGACCTGAGAAGAGTTACGTATGGTGAAGATGTAAGCGAAAGCTTTATGTACAGGCGAGAGGAGACCGAATAGCCACGCGACACCCAGCAGGGGAATCATCCCTACGCATGCTTTGATGCCCATTCTAGGAGTTAAAAGAAAATATTCATTTATTTTCCTTTGACAGTGAATTTTCATTTTTAGATATAGTAAGGCCTTACTGATTAAGGAATGAGGAAGTTAGGCGAATAGAGCCCCACAGGAGGACATGGCTGCCTCTTCCACTATTTTGTTTTAGTTTTATGTTGTGAATCTTACCGTATTTGCTGAAAATGGTTGTCTTCCCCATTTGGCTGCAACAAATTGGTCATCTCCTTTATGACTCGTACGAGTATCAAGGTGTTGAGCTGAAGAATACAATTGGAATAAATTGATTATTTAGATATGGTTATCGAATAGCCAAAGCAAGAGAGGATCCTTGCCAGAGACGTTACTAGTTTAATAACAAGCATGGGATGAAGAGTAATTTACAGGGAATAGAGATCCCAACCGGGGAGCTTTGATTATCTGACAAAGTGCGAAAGAAATCGCAAACTTAATTACCTAAACTGAATGAAAAATTTCAATCTACTTCTCTTACTGCCCCTTTCATCTTGTTCAATGTTTTTTTTTAGGAGTTATTTGTGCGCGAAAAACATGTCTTGGTAAATCAATGTGAAACAGTAAGAAAACATTAACAAGGAAGGGGAAGAATCTTTTTTCTCTTACTATGTAGTTAAAGTTCGAGAATTTATGTAATTTTGGTAGTTGAGTTTTTGAATGAAGAAATGTAAAATGGTTTCCGTGTTTACATAGCCTGATGTCGATAAGCTGGAAACCACTCCGCTTCGCGTCGTGGTTTCCCTACGCTTATCTCGTGTTCTCCCAACCTCCCGCGTGTTTACATCAGGCTATGTAAACACGGAAACCATTTTACATTTCTTTTATAAAATAACTAATGAAAGAGGAACGAAAACCGTGTTTACGTACGCTTATGTAAAATGGTTTTATGGCCAATCAGAGCGCGCGTACTATTTGAATTATTTTATAATATCAATTATTTCCTCGTTGAGCTGCACCTCCCCCGCCCCCTACACTTCTTTCTTCCTCTCCCACCTGAACAGACTTAGAAAAAACGTAAATTAAATGTGAATGCAAGTTATCATAAATGTCCAACTGGAGATACACAGTTAACCTTATAAAGTTGTTACCGGAAAGTTTGTCGGAAAAAAGAGCAAAAATTTAAAGTGCACGCGACAACCTCAAAAGATTATCTGGGTAACGGTAATTAATACGGACATAAAAAGTAAAGATAAATTAATTAGTGTTAGTTTGTTCTTTTTTTCGTTTTCATACAGTTTAGAATTTAAATTCAGTGTTTTAAATAAAATAGGTTAATCAAACCCATGATGCCTCGTCCTTAAATTAACATTTTCTTAGCCTTCCCCGAAATCCTGAGGTCAAGTCTTACCATGACATAAAAGCTACCCGCAATACCTTTCGGGGTTATCCCTTGCACTTCCGACATGCTTTCTTCCGACAGCCTTTCTGGAAAGAACTGTATTTATTTTTTGTCTTTCTCAGAGGGCGCAGTAACGAATCCTGTAATCTTACTGGCCATTAGTGCGATCCGGATTTTCCTATCTCTGCCCACTGTTACGGTATCGCTTGCGCAAGCCCCGCACTACATGCCTAACTTTGTTGCTATTTTTCGTAAATACATTTCGTTTTGCCAGCTGGGCAGTATTTTTAAGCAAATTATTTGACAGAAAATCAAGCCGATTAACAACTTGTTGATCCTCAATGTCTCTCTCTCAAATCACTCTGGTTGCTAGCCAAAATTTTGGTTTTTAAATGAATTTTGGTAGCAAGTATGTCATTAAATGGGTTGACACGCGGCCTAAAAACCATTTGTGACTAACCTAAACCTTCAGTAGAAGAAGCTCAGAAAGTTAAAAGGTGAGGTATTTCTTTATAATTGAAATTATTAGTGGAAATTTTATTTATCATATATCTGAATCTCTCAAACAAGTTGTTCATTAAAAACCAGTGAGCGAAGTCTTCTATACTTTAAATACGCTTTCGGTAAGTCGTTGTAAGTCCGTTCAAATCGGACAGTCGCTTCTGTAATTTCACAACAGAAAACGAAGGAATTCAGCAATAAAAAGCTGCATTAAAATTCCCCTTTTGATGAAAGACCAGAGTTACTCGCGTGATTGCACTAAACAAACGAGCAAACTCCCATAACTTCAAAATATAGTTTTAAATTTAATTACAATTACTTTCACGTAAGTTTATTTGCCAAACCAGCGCCGTTGTTGTTGTTGTTGTCCTTTTTTCTTACGCGCCCTCTAATTGACAGGTGTCAGATTGTGACAGATACTTGTGAAACAAATGTTTCAAAGTTTGTTTATAGAAGCCTTTTAAATCACTTTTTTCAATACACAAATAAAAATATTTCGGTGAAGCCTCTCTTTAATTTGCATTACCTCAGTCTGTTTCAACTTTACTCGCTCAAAATTTGTTCAGTTCACGGAGGATCTTGCCGTAATTACAGCACTTACTCATTAGGGTTCTTTTGGAAAACATTTCGTTGAGTGTACGGAAAAACTGTTGGTCATCAGCCTAGGTCGGTCCGTATTGGGAAAAACTGTACACTCTGTTTAAAATACCGGTGCTCAGGACCTTGGGCACAATCTTACCCAATTCGGACTTCCCGGCCAGTAAATAGCATATTTATCACCGACTCGTACAAGAAACACACACGCACACCCACACACTCATTGGCTGCTATTGGCAGTCAATTTTCTACAGTCCCTTGTCTATACTCTATGCAAACCCACCCCCCACCCCCCTTTTATACTCTTAAAGAAATACTACTTGCCTTGAAACCACTTGACTGCCCCTTGTGGATTCACTTTAGTTTTGAACATTGCTGGCATCATTTCTATAATCAAGAAGGCTGCAGACCAAGGAGAATTGTGTTTGATTTGTTAAATATCGCCTTGAGAAATATCAAAACAAAAACAAAAAAGCTGAGTAATAAAAACGTACAATTTAACTTGATTCCTTCATATCCTTACCTTCAAGTACTTCATAGACTGAAACTCTATTCCCAGCTTGAAAAAGAATCTAAGAAATTAATTATGCTGGTTTGCTTTCCTGGTCAATTAGTTTTCATCTATCACTTTGATAAAGTACTTTTACTGTAGTACAACACCCCAACCCTTTAACTCCTACGATCTCATTAGCAATTCTTGTTACTGTCTGCCATACAACTCTCGTGATGTTAGTTTGGAGAATTTGGTATTGGATCAACTTATAATCATGATCCCCTAATTGATATTTTACTTTATTCTCATCTGACTTGTCTGCTTGATATTGTATTGATATTGTAAGGAGAAACTCTGTACAGTAAATGGTTTGAACCCGGGGGTAACATGTAATAGCGTAGTTTGATCGTTCGGGTGAGTGTAGTCCTAAGAAGGACTGTTGTCGGTAGTGGAGACGGAGAGCAGTTTACAGGAAACCGACACATACCTACAGATTACTGGACGAGTCATTCTACAACCCGACATCACACAAAGCCACAACTATCAGGACTCTCACGCGACGAGCGCAACTAGTATGCAACACGACAGACAGCTTCTGCACTAACCAAGTCTATAGAACGACATACAGCAAAACAGAAATTCATGGAGAATATTGGATTATGGCCTGAGTGTAACGCCATAACGCCACTTTATTAAAGCAGATAATAACATCTACAAAAAGAGAGACTGAAAATTTAAACTAGAGAAAGCCGTGCCAGGGGGGGCAAACCCTGTGGGAAAAACGGATAGGAAATCTGAGGAGGGCCAGGCACGACTTAGTCCCCCGCCGAGACTACTAATTAAATAATTTATCGTAAGCAAACGAAATCCGAAACTAAAGAGCAATAGATCGAGCAACTTTTAAGCGATCATTAACAGTGTGCTTAATGTGCCTGTTCTTTGAAATGGCACATTTCCAGCCGGTGTGCGTGTCCAGCAGATCAGCAGAAATACTCCTACACGCAGGATTTCAAGCGGCGCCAGACTTGATACTATGCGTGCCATAACTAGTGATGTCATCTACAGATGGCTTAACGTATTTCCTAAATTCCTCTCTAAGCGTCGTGTACGAAACGCCTTTAGTAGCATGAAAATACTCCTTAGACTTAGATTAAACAATTCGTCCAACGAGGGGGGAGGATGACTCAGTAGATGAAGGAAGAAGCTTGAGTAACCTCTCGGTAATAGAAACCGGGCAAGTAACCTTATGAGACCTTGCTAGGAGGGATGTATAGCCCTCCCGCCAATCTTAGGAGCTGCCCATTTACGCCACTTCAGCCAGCCAGATCTGTATTTCTGCTCGGAGGAAGGAGCCCTGGACTCCAACTGTAAATGGAGAAGGTTGGAACAAGCCTACGCAAAGATAGATCGACCAGAGAATTTGCGTCACGCAAAATCCCCGATTGCAGAACGTCTACAAGAAATAAAATAAAATAAAAGTAAGCAAAAAACAAAAGGTTGAATAACATAAAAAAGAGATACATAATACAAACAGAAAATGGGATGCCACAAAAACCATCAAAACGGCCCAAGAGATACTGCCAAATCAGGCAAAACACAATATAATAGCAAACGCGACGTAAAAACAATTTAGCCCAGAACACGTACCGTCAAAACGACGGTGCCAAATCAGGCAAAAGGTTCAAAACAAACGGAGGTCAAAATATTGACCAAAATGACACTGCCAAATCAGACAAAACACAACGAGGTTAGACTAAAAGATCAGCAACGACAAGGTGAGGAGCAGTGTATGGTAAACAAGGATGACAAAAGCTCACCTAAAAAATACCCGTAAGGCTAACATTCTGAATCTCGGGCAACCACTGAAAACCGAGGGACGCGCCTTGTAAATTTGCCTCTGGCTAGGACCTTCCAACAAGAGTTCTTCTATACAAAGAAGCTCAAACACTACCTTAACAAAAGACTTGAACGGAGAAGAGCTGTCATGCAAAAAGGGCCAAAAATAGGCCGAAGGCCACTGTGGAACGATCAGAGTGCCGTAACCAGAGCACGACGAGAGAGCTCTAACAGAAGGGACGATGGCACTCACAGGAGGGCAGACCCAATTGTTCTCGTCTCGTCAATCCTAGGCCAAGGCGTCAACGCCGCTGCAGCCGGGGGAGGAAAATTTATAATTGAACCTAGGAGCCTGGGCGTTGTAATGCGACGCAAACCGATCGATTGTGTGAGGGCCCCATTTGGCGTCAATCACACGAAATACAGAAGGGTTGACGGACCAGTCATCTTTGTCAACAAATCTGCTGAGAAAATCTGCCCTTTCATTAAGCGACCTTGGGATCCATTGCGCTTCCAGAATGATGCTGTTAACAAGACAGAGATTAAAAATGTCCATGGCCAGAGCCTGGAGATTAATTTTGGAGCTTCCGATAGCAACAATTCTGGCGGCGCCCTGATTATCAGTAAAGATTTTAACTCTCTTGTGTTTCAATTAAGCAACGTAGGAAAGCAATAAGAAATAAATAGCTTTCAGTTCGCGGAACGTAGAACTTTGGCCGATATCCTCGGGTTCCCACATGCCGCTGAAAACGGTGCCGTCTAGAAAAGCTGAAAAAGCAGGCACTACTAAGGCCGAATGGAAGATCTGCAAAGGTAAAATATCTAACAACGCCGGAAAAAGGCCAAGCAAAACCGAGATACTTTTGGTGATCAACACAAATATCAACATGATGTAGCCGGACTTAAGGTCCCATGTGAAAAACCAGTGTTCTTCATCCAGAACTTGGGATAGCGAGCGCAAGTCTTCATATTTGAATCTGGGTTTAACTAAACAATTGTTGACGCGCCTAAGATCAATAAGGAGACGCAACTTCTTTCCTTCCGCGACTGTTAAAGGATTCATGCAGAACGGAGGAACGACATGCTCAACAATACAACCATTACTAAGTAGCTCGGTAGTTGCTTCGGCCACAAATTCTGGATGCTGAAGCGCAGATCTGTCGTTCTTTAGAAAGCACTGTGAAGGATACTGGGCAAAAGGTAACCTGTAACCACGCCTAATCATGTCAAGCACAAAATCTGAAGCATCTAATGCTTCAAACCAGAAATTAAGCGAGGACTTCAAGCAACCTTTGACGCCATTGCTACCGCCTTTAACACTAAACTCGTCGCTAAAAAATCACACTCAACCTGCTGGGCATGAGTATCATCAGTGGTCAACAAACCGCGATCTAGTCAATCACGGCGAGCGCTACTCTTTGAAGTGTCCGCAAGTTTCGTGCATGTCAAGCTCAAATGACCAAAACCTCCACACTGAAAAAAGGGGACACACAACAGCATGAAAATAAAATCCACAGCATAAAAATAAAAGAACAGTGGAGTAGCGTGTGGCGTTAGCAGACCCGAAGGAAGATCACTAACTGACAACAGCTCTATATACGACACGCGATTAACGCGTATCGCGTAACGGAAACACCTAATTGTCTAACACAATAAGACTGCCAAATACAGAACGTGCAGAAAACAAATATCTGCTAAACTACTTACCGCAGATATTTGGAGTCAGAGGCGAGTTCGCCAGACAAATATTCGTTAACGGTCGCCCATCCAAGGCCCCAAACGCTCTTGTCAACTCCGAACGAGAAGCCAAACTTTAATCAGTGGCTTTAACACGCTTGGAAACGACGAATTCAGTACCTGACTCGTCGGGCAACTTTAACAAATTTCTCGGTCGCCCACAAATTTCTGCTTGAGAGCGTCGGATAATTTCGTCTAGTTTATCCACCACCGGAGCGTCGGAATGATCCAACTGCTGCTGGTTTCCTTTCCTTTTGCAGGTATATTGTTCGCGCCGAGCTCTCTTGACTGCTTGTTCAACGGACGAGCTGTTCTCCGCGGAAAATCGCTTCGCGAAATCGCTAAGCCGAGATTCAATAACCTATAGTGAGGTTATCGGTTAAAGAACCCATCGATTCAGAAACGGCAGACCGTATAACAGCACCGACAGAAGGATCTCAAACTCCATCGTTCCGATTAGAACGTGCCCTAGCTTCCTCAGAGTTGCTCGTGCTAAAGAACGGTGGAGTGAGCGTGTGGCGTTAGCAGACCCGAAGGAAGATCACGAACTGACAACAGCTATATAAACGACATGCAATTAACGCGTATTACGTAACTGAAACACCTAATTGTATAACACATTAAGAATACCAAATACAGAACGTGCAGAAAACAAATATCTGCTAAACTATGTACCGCAGATATTTTGATATTATCTGACGAGAACAAATACCTTGACCGTGTTTTTTCTAAGAACAACTATAACGAAGACTTCATCCGACGAAACACTCACCGACCTTAACCACTACTACTATCGAAGCTAACGACAACGCAACTCCTACGACTACAGCAACTATACCGCACATAAAGGACATATCTGAGAACATCTCGCGCATCCTACAAGCATTCAATATCCGCGTCGCTCACAAACCCATTTCCACACTACGTCAGTTACTGACTAACGTCAAAAACCCAGACGAACCAAGGAACAGACAGGGAGCAGTTTATAAGATCAACTGCTCCGACTGGCACGCCTCCTACATCGGTGAGACTGGCAGAACTTCTCACAACCAGACTGACTGAACACAAACGAGCGACGAGGAAAGGCGATGTCAACAATAACATTGCTGAACAACACCGACTAACGAACCACACTATTGACTGGGACTCTGCGCAATGCCTAACCCACAACACCAACTACTTTCAACGACTGACTCTGGAAAGCTAGTTTACTAACTTGGAACAGACTCCCCTCAACAGGTGTCAACCACTATCGGCACCATAGAAACGACTCATCCATGACATTAACATTACAAACGAACCAAACAGAACGACCTAACTTTACTAACAGATCGAGAC